CCTCTGACCACTGGCGTGCCCCAGGGATCTGTCCTGGGCCCCTTCTTTTCATTATCTACCTTCTTCCGCTTGGACACATTTTCCGTAAATACAATATCCACTTTCACTGTTCTGCCGATGAAACCCAGCTTTATCTGTCCACTAAACCTGATTCTGCTCTTCCCCCATCCTCCCTCACCCTCTGCTTAGCCGAACTAAATTCGTGGTTCTCTTCTAATTTTCTCAAACTCAATAGTAATAAATCCGAGCTCCTCTTGGTCGGCACTAAATCAACATTATCCAGAACCAACAGTTTCTCTGTTACTATCAATAACTCACCGGTCTTCGTTTCTTCCTCTGTGAAAAGCTTGGGTGTCATCCTCGACAGTACCTTTCAGTATCTTTCAATTCAAACATTAATAATGTTACTCGGTCTGCATATTTTCAATTGCGCAACATTAATCGTCTCTGTCCTTTTCTCACCCCACATGTCACTGCCATTCTTGTCTTGTTACTTCCTGGATTGATTATTGTAATTCACTTCTTTTTGGTCTTATTCAAAAATCCATCCACAAGCTCCAATCCAGAACTCTGCTGCTCGTATCATCACCAGGACCCCTTCTGCCCACCACATCACTCCTGTCCTGCAGCAGCTTCACTGGCTCCCGGTCAAATATCGTATCAATTTCAAAATACTCTTGTACACATTTAAGGCTGTTCATCATCTCTCTCCTCCATATCTCTCTGATCTGGTTCAGATCACCGCCCCATCTCGATGTCTTAGATCTTCTTCTTCCCTTTCACTCTCCGTCCCCTCCCGTCGTCTTGCCACCATGGGGAGCCGGGCTTTCAGCTGCTCTGCTCCACGACTCTGGAAGTCCCGACCTCCTGATTTAAAAATTTCTCTTCCTTCTCTCTCTTTAAGTCCCAACTGAAAACTCACTTGTTCAAAATAGCTTATCCCACATAACCTCTCCACTCTGCTATTTTAAATTTGTTTTATGTCTTATTATGATTGTGTAAACTGCTTGCTTTTATGCTGCTTTTTTTATTCTACTGTGTACAGCGACCTTGAGTGTTCTGAACGGTGCTTTCAAATAAAATGTATTATTATTATTATTATTATTATTATTATTATTATTATTATTATTATTATTATTATCATATCTTATGTTGCTTTACATAAGATACTTTACACAACAAAGTTCTATAAGTGCAAACTTGAGTAAAATCGTGCCAAAGTATTTTCTCCGGAGGCAAACATTACGTTTTTTGTGCTTTTATTCCACAAATGTATCTGTGTGAACAGTCTGACCTTTTTTTGTTATTTGCTTTCGGTTCCACATCTCATTTTTAGACTCAAACTGTATAACTTGTGCACTTTGTATGCTATACTTGGCTCTCTAATGCATAAGGTGATGTTTGGAACCTGCTGTGTCTGTCTGGCAATCACGAGTGTGGCAATAAATCAAAGTCTAGATAAACATCTTCATCTTTAATGATGACATTTTTGACACATTAACATTTATTAACATGTTGCATCAAGATCCTTCTCTATGCCTATGCTCACCTGCAGAGTATGAATAGCATGAAACCTGCTTTTGTTTGGCAGCTCTTTCTGAATACACTTTGCACTAAGTGAAGAGTGGCTGAAGTGGAATATAGAGTACAGTTTGATGTGCACATTTGTGTATCATACTTAGCTTGCGCGTGTGCATGAAGGTCTTACGTGACTCATTGTGGTAATATGTGCTCACAAATATCCACATTACACGCCTGAGATGTTGAATAACCATCATATGGGACTGTGTGAGTGGGTGTTTGTGTGTTTTTTGAAGCTCTATCTTTCGTTTTAGATTTATAGTAAGAATAAGAAGAATAAGAATAACTTGACATAACTGTGAATCAACCTCTTAATACAGTTGTAACTTGCGCGACTTATACTGTATCTTCTACAAGGTTTTGTAGCCCTATAACTACAGTCCACATGCTTTCAAACATTTTATACAATGTGGAATATTTGCCAAATTTCTATTTGTTTGATTTTATTGATTAGCATTCAAATATCTCAATGAATACAGAATAAAGATTACCACAAAGCAAGAAAGCATGAGACAAGGCTAATCAAAAGGTATTGGCTGAAGCATTTGCTTATTACGCCAACCCTTTTAACAAAAGATCTT